TGCTGCCCAAACAGGTGTGGGCTGTGACCTCATGTTAAGGTCACACCTGTATCCCCCGGGAGAGAGCACAGCCAGAAAAATGACCCAACCAAGGGAGGGGGGAGAAACCTCCCCAGGCCTGGGAGTTCTGGCCACCGCTGTGGGCCCATATGGGTGGTGGGGATCATCAGGAGGGAAGGCAGGCCCAAGCCCGGATCAGACCCCTGTGGGGACCACAGCCATCAGGTTCCCAGCTCCCAATCCCTGTGCCCTCGGGACTGTCAGAGAAAAGTGGCAGGAGGCCTGGTCTGTGGGCTGAGGGTCTGTGGGCAAGTTCCACCTCCCTTAAATTTGTCCCCACCTCTGTAAGACAGGAATGAGAACAGTGCCAAATCCACAGGGCTGTTGTGACCATCACCTGAGAAACAGCACTGATGCCCTTATCCTGACACAAGTCAGCTCCAGACCAGCAACTCAGCCCTGGAGGGCCAGGGTCCATCTGGGTGGACACCCCCATCTCACATCCTCAAGGGAACCAACCCGGAAATGTGAGTTCTAGAGTCCTCGGAGGGCCACACTAAGTAGAAAAGAGGGGTTTGGAAACTGTAGGTGGATTTTTCACAATGAGGGTAGGAAAACCATGTGCACTAGCCCTTGGGTAACTGGACCCGCTGGACTAGGTGGGCGGCAGCAGCAGCAGCAGCTCTTGCCTGTGACCACTCACACCCCAGGATGGTGCTTCTGGGACTTCAGGGGTGAGACCTCTAGGGAAAGAGTAGAAGGAGGGGATGGGGATATAGCTCAGCTGGTAGAGTGCTTGCCTCGCATGCACAAGGTCCTGGGTTCAATTCCCAGCACTGCACACACACAAGAAAGAGTAGAAGGAAGCCCCAGTGGGAAAGTCTGCTGAGTTCCCCTCAACCCGGACCCCAGCTAGACTGAGGGACTGCTGCTCATTCAAAGCCCCCAGGCTGAAAGTTCTATGTCACTCCCCCAGCCAGTGGCTTCTGGACCAGGCAGGGAGGCTGGGGGGATGCCAAGTGTTCCCTCCCACCTAGCAGGGGCAGAACAGGAGGGCTTCGGATCACCCCTGCAGTAGCAGAAGCCGTGCCTTGGGCCCCCTGTCCCTAAGAGGCGCAGGCTGCCCTGTGTTGGAGGGAAGCAACTCCTGCCTGTCACCCCTCAGGAAGCAGGAAGAACCATCCTCATTTTGCAGGGTAGATGATGTTGGCTCGAGAGGCAGAGGAAGAGGTCGGGTTCAACCCAGGTCGGAAGCTCTCCTAGCACCGACCGGGTGTGAACACAGATCCGGGCTTATTCATGTTCACGGTCCCTCCCGAGGCTGTCCAGTCTGCCCTGCGTGGCTCCTCAGAGGCCCGGGTTACTGCGGACTCTCTCCCTGAAGACCTTACTTTGGGGGCTGCTGAGGGCGAGGTTGGTCCCCATCCCTTCCTGGCCTGGCAGCTGCTCTGGCGCGACTCTGATTCACGCTGCCCGCAGGTTCCTCAATGGCCGAGGCCGAAGGGCCTGAATGGAGGGCACGAACCCGCCCCTTCTTAAAGGCGCCGGACTCCGGGGCACCCTCGGCAATCCATCCCACTAACGGGGGCTGTCTGGGAACTCTAGGGTGGGCGGGTCTGGAATGGTGGCCGTGGGAAAGAGGGCCTGGGCCGAATGGAGGGCGTGCCAGCCTGGAACTGTGGCCTAGATGGGATCTCTTCCCACTCCAGCTCGTGGGCCTCGTGCTCCTTCTAGGTTGACCCACCCCTTCCTCCCTCCGAGGAAAGAGACCTGAGCGTCCCCTCCCCACTTCCAAGGACCCCGCCTCCGGGGACCAGCTGCGCTCGCTCCACTGCCCAGCCCGGGTCAGAGGAGGGGGCGAGGGCGCAGCTGCTCCGGAGGCGCTTCGACCCGTCTCGCCACTCCCCGCCTGGCCCCAGATGGGGGTCCGGGAGCCGATCCCAGCGGGGGCGCATCCCTCGCTCGCGCATCCTCTTCCCTCCCACCCGCGCACACAAAGACGACACGCTCGGACCAGGGCGCGTGCGGCCGCGCTTCCCGGGGCAGCGGTGCGCACACACACGCACGCCCTCAGGGACTGCCGAGAGCCCCGGTGAGGGACCAGGGGACCGGGAACTGAGGACCAGCAGGCCTTACCTACAGGCGTGCAGCTGGGGCCGCGCGGGCCGGGGAGCCGGCGGAGCACTGCCCCGACTGCGGCCGGGCTCCCGGGGCCCGGCGGCTCATGGTCCGCGGCGGGTTTGGTTCCCTCCGGGCCAGGCCCCTGCCCCTCTGCCCCCGTTCCTCCTGGCCTTGGTGGGAGCAGTGATGATGGCCTTGCTGGCCGGGCACTTTCTGTTCACAGTGACTGTCGCGAGACACCGTATTATATGGAGAGAAGGCTCAGAGAGGGGACGGGACCACGTTTACTTGACCCTACAGGACCTTCCTACTCCACTATAC